GTTGTGAGATCCATAAAAAAGTAGTATCATACTATATGTGGTCTTCTGTGACTTACTTTATTCACTCACTATTGTATTTCCAAGATTCACCTGTTTTGCATGTAGCTGTAACTTGTTCATTCTCAGTGCTGTATAATATTTCATTGGGTGACCCTAAAACAAACTATTCATCTATTTACATGTAGATGAATGTACATTTGGAGGGACATTTGGATCATTTCTAGCTTTTGCTCTTATAGAAAGTGCTAGTATGAACATTCTTGTACATGTCTCCTAGTACACTTGCACCCTCACTTTTCCAAGTTATATACCTATGTATGGAATTGTTGGTTAATAAGACATATAAACATTCATCTTGATAAGATTATGCCAAAATACATTTTAAACTGTTATTACCAATTTACACACTTTTCAGCAATTTATAAGAGGTCCCATTCATTCACACACACCCTATCAATACTTGATATTGTCCCACTTTTAAATTTTTGTCATTATAGTGAGTCTTTGTGGACATAATTAGCATTTTTCAAATTACTAATGTGATAGAGCACCTTTTCATGTTTATTGGTCATACATGTTTCTTCTTCTGTGCAGCGACTATTAATATCTTTTGCCCATTTTAAAAATGGATATTTTTATCATTTTTATTGAATTACAGAAAAGTTTTAGTTATTTGGCTTCCCTCATAGCTCAGCTGGTAAAGAATCCGCCTGCAATGCAGGAGATCCTGGTTCGATTCGTGGGTTGGGAAGATCCGCTGGAGAAGGGATAGGCTTCCCACTCCAGTATTCTTGGGTTTCCCTGGTGGCTTAGCTGGTAAAGAATCTGCTTGCAATGCGGGAGACCTGGGTTCAACCCCTGGGTTTGGAAGATCCCCTGGAGAAGGGAAAGGCTACCCACTCCAGTATTCTGGCCTGGAGAACTCCATGGATACTACTCAATCATTTGTCAGTTACATATTTTGAATTTCTTCTCTCAGTTTGTGGCCTTTTTTTTTCTTTATGGTGTCTTTGCATGATCAGAAATACCTAATTTTAAGTGAGTTAAAGAATTCAATTTTTTCTCTGTAGCCAGTTCTTTTTGTGTGTTGTCTTCCCTAACCTGTAGTCATAAAGATATTCTTTATTTTCTTCTAATAAAAAGTGAAAGGTATACCTTTCACTTTTAAGTCCTCAATCTAACTGGAATCGATTTTTGTGTGGTACAAGTCATAGGGCAGAAAGCCAGTTGTGTTATTGTCCCCATGGATAGCGTTATGATCTGAAGTGCCACTTCTGTCATGCATCAAAGTTTCACATTTGTGTAGGTCTGTTTCTGGGATCTCTGATTTGGCCGACTTTTTGCCCCAAAACAGTACTACACTACCTTTAATTATTTAGCTTCATAAAGAATCTTAGTATTTAATGGAGCAAAATTTTCCCATCCTATTTTTCTCTAGTAGTATTATATATTCATGGCCCTTTGTTATTTCAAACACATTTCAGAATGAGCTTGTCATGTTCTACAAAAACATTGGAATTGGAGTAAATCTATAGATCAGTTTGAAGAAAATTGCTGTGTTTATCATGGTGACTCTTCCTAGCTCTACACATGATATAGCCTTTCATTTTTAATAAATTGTTGAATGTCTTTTGGTAGAGCTTTATAATTCTCTATATAGGGTTTTGCATATTTGTATTCGTTTTTTTTCCTTGTTATTTATGACTTTTTTAATGACTTTTATAGATGAGATCTGTTTATAAATCTCATTTCTAATCTGCTGCTATAAATGAGATCGTGTTATTTAATGTGTTTTATCTCTTTTGCAGGTGTATAGAAATGAAGTTGATTTTTATATTGTTATTATAGCCATTCATTTTGCTAAACTTTTATTACCTTTAAGCAAACTTTTAATTTTAGAAGAATTTTATTTATAGAAAAGTAAATAAAGAGACAGTATGGAGAGTTCCTGTATACTCTTCACCATGATATGTTTATCAAAACTAAGAAAACAACATTGGTATATGACTATAAACTAAACTTCAGACTTTATGTAGACATCTGAGTCTTCCCACTATTGTCCTTTTTCTGTTCTAGGATCCAGTTCCAAATACCACTGTGCATTTAAGTTGTCATGTCTCTTTTGTGTCTTCTGGTTTATGATAGTTTCTTACTCTCCCTGTTTTTTATAACCTTGACAGTTTTGAGATTTACTATAGAGTATCCCTCAATTTGGATTTGTCTGAAGTTTTCCTCATAATTAGACTGGGGTTGGTCTTGGAAAGAATACCACAGAGTTGAAGTGCAATTTCCATCACATCATATCAGGAGTATGTGATATCCCTGTGACATCCCTGATGATGTTGACTTTCACCACTTATTTAAGGTAGTGTTTGCCAGATTTCTCCACTATAAAGTTGCTATTTTTTTCCCTTTTCACTCTCTTTTCTTTGAAAGAATTTAGCTCACCATCAAGGAGAAGGGAATAAATTAAGCTGCACCTCTGGAAGGGGGTGTAATTACATATAGTATCTGGAATTCTATAAAAAAGATTTATTTCTTTTCCTTTGTTTGCTTACCTATTTATTCAGTTGCTTGCTTATATCAGTATGAACTGATATATATTTGTTTAATAATTTGAGTTATAAATCCAATACTGTTATTTGTCCCGTGGCTCAAATTGTTCCAGCTTTAGCCACTGGAGGCTCTTTTAGTTTGGCTTCTGTGTCCCTTTGACATGGCCCCCATCCTTTTGTTTTTAAGTACTTCCTTATTTGCCAGCTCTACAAGATACTCTCTACTTATCTTTTATCTTCCTGCCCCAACCCCAACCCCAGAATTGACCATTTCTCAAAGAGCCCTGCTTCCTTTTGAGATGTTTACAATATTGTAGTGGTTTTTGTCATACATTGACATGAATCAGCCATGGATTTGCATGTATTCCCCATCCTGATCCCCCCTCCCACCTCCCTCTCCACCCAATCCCTCTGGGTCTTCCCAGTGCACCAGGCCCGAGCACTTGTCTCATGCATCCAGCCTGGACTGGTGATCTGTTTCAGCCTAGATAATATACATGTTTCAATGCTGTTCTCTTATATATTCTTTTGTGTTTTTTATGTTGACTGCCATATCAGCTATTAATAATGACAGTTTTGTTTTTTCCTTTCCAATCTTCATGCTTTTATTTTTTTTGTGTTACTGAGATGCCCAGGACCACCAGTACAATGGCAAATAGAAAAGATGGCCGTGGGCTTCCTTGACTTGTTGGCTATTTTAGAGGAAACACCACTAACTTTCCCATAGTAAGAATGATATTTGCTATAGATTCCTACAGGTTTTATCAGATTAAACAAGTTCCATACTGTCATCTATGATAAGAAGTTTTTGTTATTGTTTTTAAATCATGAAATTGTATTGTAATCTTTATCCAATACATTTTCTGTTTCTTAGGATGATTATATTTTTTCCCTCCAATAATCCAATGATGTGATAAATGACATTTATAGATTTTCTGCATGTTAGACTACATTTGCATTTCTGGTGTAAATACAACTTGGTCATGATCTTTTCCTTTTTATATGATACTAGATTCGGTTTGTTAATATTTTGTTTAGGATTTCTGTATCTGTGTTCATGAGTTAAATCAGTCTTTGATTTTCCTTCCTCAGGCTGTTTTTATTTGCTTTTGGCATCAAGTCCTGCTTGCATCATAGAATGAGTCAGTGTTCCCTCGTTTACAATATTCTGGAAGATGCTATTGGAATGATCTGTTTGGTAGAATTCTCCTGTGAAACCACTTTTGTCTGGTGTTTTCATTTTTAATATTAAGTGAATATTAAACTTTAAATATTTTCAAATTTTTTAATTAAAAACTTGAAATTTCCTTCCTTAACATGTTTATTTTATATCAAGTTTTATGCTTGAAATGGCTACACACAAATCCTGATCAAGACTTTTTAATGAAGTGTTCTTCAAATTCTTAACAGTCACCAATAAAAATCTTTTTTTGTACAATTAGGTGATAAAGTATTTAAACCCAACTTTTAAGTTGTTTAAAAATGTTTAATAAGTAAAATGATATCTAACAACTTCTGTTTCACTGACAAATGTATTTTTAAAAATTTCTTGTGATAATGTGATTAGATTTCAAATCCAATTGAACTCTTTTGTATTAACTGTTTCAAAATAATGATGAAGCTCTTATTTGCAGAACATGCATCATTGTTAGAACCATCACCCTGCAGCTAGCTTGGACACCATTAAAAGGGCTCATCAGCTGCAAACGGATAGAAGTATCTGATATCTGAAGACAGTTTCAGGGCTTCTCCTTGGAGCTACATTCTCCAGAAGCCCCTGCTTGGCCTCCCTGCACCCAGCCCCACCCCATCCAGTCACAACTTGGGTCGTGTGTGGTATTTCTTGGCAACTGGAACATAAACTTCTCCAGCAGCTCCACAGGCCCCTTGTCCTCAGTGAGCAGAAGACTACAGAAGCTGGCTACTGAAGAGGCCGTCCAAGTCTTAGAGCTCCTCATTGGCCCTGCTTAGCACAGTGCTGTAACTGAGTGCTGGATGTTAGTCATTCATGCTCACCACCTTTAGGGACTGCAAAGGGATTTGTCAGACCCCATTTCACTAAGGGCCACCCTCTAAGGATCTCAACAGGAGGCTGTCCATAGAGAGAAGTGGCCTGCCTAGGGTCTCCGCTGCCTTAGGTCCTATGTGGACAGTCCAGATCTAAGGGGATTAGTATTTTTTCACCTACCTGTCATCCACTTATCAACTGGGAAATTTCGTCTCCTGTTATTTTTTGTTCTTGTGTTTGTTTTTTAGTAGGAAGAGTTTTATCTATTGCTTCAATTCCTTTAGTAGTTAGAGGACTAGTCAGGATTTCTTTTTCATCTTGAATCTATTCTACTAAGTTCTAGTTTTCTGGGAATTGGTCCATTTTGTCTGCCTTCTCAAGTTTATTAGCATTAAGTTTCCTTATTTTTTTTTATTTTCTGTATACAATCTGTAGTTATGTCTCCTTTTTCATTGCTAATATTGGTAATTTGTGCCTTCTCACTTTTTTTCTTGATCAATCTCACCAGAGGTTTGTCTATTTTATTAGTCTTTTCAAAGAACCAGCTTTTGGCTTTGTTGCTCCTCTCTATTTTGTCTTTGTTTTCTATTTCTTTGATTTCTGCTCTTATCTTTTTTGATCTCCTTCCTTCCACATTTTTTGGATTTATTTTGTTGTTATTTTTCTAATTTCTTAAATTTGACACTGAGCTCATTAATTTTCAGCCTTTCTTGTTTTCTTATTTGCACAATTAAGGACATAACTTTCCCTCTAACTACTGCTTTTCTGCAAGTTCACACATGTCATATTTTGTTACTGTTTGGTTCCAAGTACTTCGGCATTTCCATCATGGTTACTTCTTTGACTTGTGAGTTATTTAGAAGTGTGTTTCTAAATATTTGGAGATTTTAAAATTTATCTCTGTGTTATTGAAGTCTGTCTTAATTGCATTATAGTCAGGATGTGATCTCTGTGATTAAAAACTGATATTTATTGAGACTTGTTTTATGGCTTAGTAGTGATCAATATTTTTGAATGTTTCCTATGTGCTTTATAAGAATGTATGTTCTCTAATTGTTGAATACAGAGTTCTATATAAGTCTGTTATCAAATTTGTTCATTGTATTATTCACATTTTCTATATATAAACTGAATTTTTGGTCATAATATACTAATAATTGTAAGGTGTATTAATATGCAGTTATGATGGTGATTTGTTTATTTCTCCTTGTAGTTCTTTTTTTCTTTTATTTTTGAGAGTATTTTATTAGGAATATTCAAATTAAGAATTATTATATATTCCTGGTAAGCATGTAATGACCCTCTCTATTCCTGATAATGCATTCTTCCTGTTTTATCTCACATTAATATAGCAACACAAATTTTTCTTCTTGTTAGGATTTGTGTGGTATATAATTTTCCATCCTTTTACTCTTCAACATTTTCATGCCTTTATACTTTAATTATATCTCTTGGGAATAGCATATAGCTGGACCTTTTAAGAAGTCTAATCTAATGATCTCTTTTTTAATGATGACTTTAGTCTGTTTACATTTATTGTGATATATTTTGACTTGTTTCTACCACCATACTTTTTAACCTCTATTTCCTACTACCACCTTTTTGATGCTTCATTTTTCTCTTTTTTTTTGCCTGCTTTTTTAGTTTTGAAATTAGTTTGTTTGCTTTTTTGATTAGTTTTTTCCTCCCTGCTCTTTGGAATTTGCCTATTTTTTCCCATTCTTTCTGTGGTTATTCTTGAAATTTTACCATGCATGTTTAACTTACAAGGTTTAAAGTTGAACAGTATTTTAACCTCCCTCTTAAAGAATTCAGGAACCTTTGAAGCCTTCAACTCTAGTCATTCCTATCTTAACTACATGTTATTTTTTTGAGTATGTTTGTTTGTTCCTTTTTCTCCCCTAACCTCACTAATATAACATCATTAGTATATTTTACATAGATAGTATGTGTTGGGATTTACATGCATACATTCTTGCATCTCAGACGACATTCTGGGATCATTTTCCTTCATTATGATTACAGTGTTTAACTGCTCTTACAGTACATGTCTGTTGGTGTTAAATTCTCCTAGTCATTATTATATGTGAATTTATTTATTCTCATTCTTAAAAGATAGTTTGTTATAGGTAATATTAGAAGTCCACTATCTGTCTAATTGCTATTTTTTCTCTTTTCTTGGGGGGTGGATATTCATGGGATTCTGCAGTTTCATTCTATCAGTGTTTACATATGTTTTTCTTTTTTATTATTATACTTTGGAGATGTTCTTCATGCCTCTGGGTTTATGTTTTTCATAATTTCTGGGAAATTCTCAGCCTTGTCTCCAAATATTGCCTGTCTTCCATTCTTTCTATATTTTCTTTCTCAGAATTCAGTTGGTCATATTTTGGACCTCATTCTATCTTCCATATCTCATAATGTCTCATTGATATTTTCTATTGTCTTGTCTTCCTGAACTTCATTCTAGGCAATTTCTTTAGCTATGTCTTTTAGCTTATTGATTCTCTCTTCAACTCTGTCTGATCTGCTGTTTAATCTGTCCACTGAGTTTTTTATTTCAAGAATTATATTTTTCACTTATACAAATTTCATATATTTCACTTTCTAATCTTCCCAGTCATCCCTAATAGTCTCTTGTTGCTTGCTCATCTTTGTGATTGCATTTATTATTTCTTTAAACATTTTATACAATTATTATTCAGCCAGTAATCATTGTCTAAGTATGGCATTATAAATATTGTTCACATCCAACTACATAGTACAGTTGGATTACATATCCTCTGTTGTATGCCTTTTTGTTTTCTTAGTAACTGGGTTTTTTTTTCTTTTGCCTAGTGTTCTAATACCATTACGAGTTCTTCTCTGAAATTCTTTGTGTTAGATCATGTCTCTCCTTTGCTCAAAATTCTCCCATAGCTCCCAGCTCCCTTAGTATAAAAGCCAAAGCCCTCACCATGGCCCAAAAGTCTTTACACAACCTGGTCCCCATCACCTCTCTGATCTTCCACTCTCCCCATCACTCACTGTTCTCCAGCCACATTGTATTCCTTAAGCATGTCAGGTATCTCCCCCCACCAACTTCAGAGCCTTTGTACTTGCTAGTCTCACATCTAGAATACTCTTCTTCCCAGATAATCTGATGACTTACCCACCCACTTCCAGTATGCTCAAATGTCACCTCCCTAGAGAAGCATTCCCTGACTGACATATCTAAAATAGCCCCATTCACCAGCACTTTCTATCCCCTTATCCTCCTCTATGTTATATTTTTCTACAAATCACTGATGACCAACTGATATATTATATTTATTTACTGTGATCAGTGTTTGTCTCTCCACAATAGACTGTAAACTGCACAAAGCAAGGACTGTTGTTTTGTCCATAGTTGTCTCTCTAGTGCTAAGAATAGTGCATAGTCATATTTAATAGACATTCAATAAATATTTTTGGAATAAACTGAGTGAATTAATGAATGAATTAATCTGGAGGATAAAGGGAGAAATGCATTGAGAACTTAACTAGGCATGAAGGCCTTTCGGGTCATGAAAAGGAGCTTGAGTGTTATTGTTCAGAGGATAGGGGCTGTAAAAAAGCGGTGAGGATAGCTCCTGGATTCTTTTGAGAAGCAAGTTCAGAGTTGATAAGGTAGTAACAAAACCCCATCTTTATGACTGGCTCTATACCCTGGGCTCTTAAAGGTAAACCAGCCTCTTTCTCAAACAGCCCTCAAACTGCTGTGTTGTCATGCCTACCTGTTTACTTGGTGAAAACCAAAGCCCCTGTGCTGATTAGGCCTTTTGGTCCCAGCTAGGATCCTCCTTTCTCTAGCCTGTGAGAAACTGTTTTTTGGTCCTCAGGCCAAGCAGATCACCCCCATTAGACTTTTTCTGTAGTACTTAGGTTGGGGGTGGTGGTATAGCAGCTGGTATAAAGCCTGGAACATAGTAAGTAGTGTCATAATGGTGGACACTTCAGGGAGGTAAGTTTCAGTTCAGAAAATTTTTTTCCATTGTAAAGGCTACAACAGGTTGTGAGGTTTTAATCCTGGCTTTTCCCCTAACCCCCTTGTGGGCTAGCATGGCTCCAGTGTTTCTGTCTACCCATGACTCTTTAGATACTAATTCTGTTTAATGTGTAGCCTACTCCCCTGGCTTTTTGTAATGCACTGATTTCATCAGAATGCTGTCAATACACACAGGTCCCTGTGGCATACCCCTAGAGACATCCTCTCTGGGCCAACATCAGTTCATTAATCATTGTCACACTGGTTTTAACCAGCCAACTAGTTATAAGTTCACTGCAGCAAAGTTGGCAGGACACCTAGTACGTATCAGGCCTCCTGTCCCGCATTGAGGACACAGAGATGAACAGGTGTGTTCTCAGACACAGAACCATCATCTCAGGGCAGTGGTCAATACAGTAATAGTGATGATACAAGAGACTGTGAGAGACCCTATCGAACACAACAACCCAGCTCAGGGTACCAAGGAAGGTTTCATTGGAAGAGGTGGTATGTGAACTGACTAAAAAAGATGAGTAGGAATCTTCTAGATGACTAGCAAGCGGAGAGGAAGGCAGTCCAGGCAAAAGGTACAGCATGGGCAAAGGCCCAAAGATGGGAAACAATGTGCTGTACACCAACCTAATTGCATTCACTGTTCACCTTTTTTTCTATGAGATCATTCTAGGAGACCAAAATTCTGACATGAGTTTGTGCTAATCTGTTAACTCCAGAAAAGCAATGAAAAGTTGGTTGGACACGACTGTCCTCAAACTTGTCCATACCAGCTTCCAACGTTCATGTATTCCTTAAATAGATGATAGTGTTTAAGTGTCAGTTTACTCATCAGTAAAATGAGTTGAATACCCACCTTGAATAGTTGTGGGTGTTAAAGCATATGTGAGGTACTTGGCAGCTGACCACCATTTATTGAACACCAGTATTAAAGGGAGAATGGCCTAGTGGTTAAGAACATGAGCTGAAGATCCAGACCAACCTGGATTTGGATTATAGCTCAACTACTTACAAACATTGGGACCTTGGTCAAGTTTCCTAACCTTTTTAAAAGCCTTGGTAAAATGAAGTTACTGCACCTACCTCAGAGTATGTTCTTGTAGCAGGATATATATGCGAGGTGGGAGCCTTCACAAACCTTGGACCCCTCCCCAGCCTGCCCTCTCAAGAGACTCCCCCCCTCCCCAGGGGACCTACCTTTAGCTTCCCCCTCTCTAAGGCTAACAAAGAGGACTGAGCTGGCCCCTCAGAGCCACAGGGCTACCTTGTTATAGGAGCTTTCTAGTGTTAATTGGCTCTTGCATTTCTGGAATGAACCGAACATTTTCATCTTATGAGGAATCTTTTTTTACTCATACTAGATTTGTTTTGCTAATAAATTCTTTAGGATTTTTGCACCTTTGGTCATCCGCCATATTTGTCTGGTCAAAGTTATTAGAGGGCTCATCCAGTAAATAAATTAGTTGGTCTGGTTCATCTAATTTCTCAAATTAATTGTATCCTCTTGTTGTGTAATTTCTGCTTTATCTTTTATGTTGTTCATATTATTTATTTGTGCCTTTTCTCTCTTTCTTGATTAGTCCCTCCAGAGATTTTCTAGTGGTTAGTCTAGAAAATTTACCATAAATATTCAATGTAAAGTCTAAACAG